CCGTGTTCCCTTTAAACTCCCTCCAGGGATCTGGCTTTACCCCTTTATGCAAATTCAACTTGCATCTCATTAGTAGTTTTTGATAAAAAGGATTTCACTTGGAGGGAAGAGATGGTTTCCTGTTCCTCTTTTTATCTCTTCTTTTGTTCATCTCTATTTTTTATTCTGCCCTCTGGTGCTTTGAAAAATAAGCTGACCCCCTCCACTCTTCTTTGTGGCAGCCCCTCAAATACTTGAATACTTCTATCGTGTCACCCCCTAGTCCTTCTTCTTTCAAGAGTAGCCATACCCAATTCTTGCAACTGTTCTTCATAGGTTTTAATCTCCAGGCCTTTTAATCATCTTAGTTGCTCTTCTCTGCACTCTTTCCAAAGTCTCAACATTTTTTTTGTAATGTGGTGACCAAAACTGGATGCAGAATTCAAAGTGTGGTCTTACTAAACTTTTATAAAGATTGATTGGTCTATCAATGTATAGACTTTTCCAATCTTATTATTTGAACAACTGATTTGCAAAATAAAGTTTTTTTTTCCCCCTGAAGAACTGGTAACATTCTTTAAGCATTTAACCCTCCAGGAATAAATCCCTAGGAATTGTTTGTGTGTCGCACTTGAGAAGAGGACGCTGATTCCAGCCGATTATTTCTGCAGAAATGGAAGCCCCACACTTGGGACAGAGTTGCAAATCAAGTATCCTGAATAAAAATTGGCTCAGAGATTCATACAACATAATTTCTTTGTACAACTTGTCAATTTATCTGTTTGCTTTTTATAACGTCAGTATTCACACTGCGTTGACTACAGTTGTCATTTTTGATGGAAGATTACATTTTGTCTTAATTAGTAGATTATATTTGTCATATTGTCCTTTTGTAACCATAACTCATTGTCAGAAAATTCCTGCTGCACAGTTTGGCTTGTCAGTTTTGCAAGGAAGCTTACAGGATCTACTGCATAATTTATTCATTTTTTTAATTCTGGGTGTCCTGTGTTTACATAATTTGGCCATCATCAGGCTCTCAACAATCCCTCAGAAAATTAATCCCTTAATTTTCTTCATCTCCTTAACAAAGAAATTGGAGGAAGAAAACCTCCAGAATTCATGAGAAATTAGGATTTCTGAAAAATCATTTTCCAAACTGAAATCCATGTGGTAGAAATTCAGCCTATCGCCTGGGGTGCTATATCTACACACACGTAAAGCAGTGTTTTGAGTTTAGATCTTCAGTTTCAATCTGAAATGGTCTCTCCTCCGAAAACATTTGAAAAATGTAGTAAGAGCTCCTCCCCATGGCCAAGTCTCTGTGGAGACAGATTGCAGCGTCTTTTGAAAGAGGATTCCTAAAAGGGGAAGGAGTTAGTTGGCTCTTTCTAAAGTTCAGGGAAGCAGGCACGTGCACAGTCCAGATTTTGAATCAGAAAGTACCAAATAGTGGTTAAGATCATAGATTAGTGATGAAGATATCGGTTCAGGCTCAGCCACAGAAGTCCCCTTGTGATCTCGGTCCCCTCAATCTCCGCCATATTTGCCTCTACATCTGCTTTTGAATGGTCAAAGATTAAACCCCACTGGTATTATCTTGGAAATCAAACATCTCATGTAATTGAAATATAGGCTGTAAAGGTAAAACAACAACAACAAGAACAAAGAAACCCAACTAAATTTGGGGTTTGGTACAAACCCATATTTTAAATTATAGTCCAAACATGATTCTTAGTTCAAATTCAATTCTACATCAGATTTGCTTTTTAAATTGGAGTCTTTTTGGTCATTGAATTTTATTTCCATGAAAGGTCAATACCAGACAAGCCTCCTTTTATTTTCCTTTCTAGGAGAAATATGTGATATATTTTCCAATTTTAATCAAGGTGGGTGGGGGGAGTAAAAATGTAATGAATGCAATGTTTCTTTATTGCAACTCTGATGAATGTTGCAAATTTTTCTCTACCGTTTTTCATTTTCCAAAAAAGGAGAAGGTCCTTATGCTTAGCAAGGCTGAGAGAAGAACTGACTCTGCTCTCTAAGTATTAACTGTGTAAATATTTCACAGGCCAGGCTGATGGTTCGCAAAAGGGGAAGAAGGAAGTCTTCACAAGGGGAGGTTTTTGTCTCACTTCTGCAAGTGATTGTATCACTGTGGATACCACCAGTTGCTGCCACTGCTGTAACCACCACCACAATAATAATCAGCCTCATCCTCAGGCTGGAGGTTTGTAACGGTTAAATAGGCTGCATTGGCAGAGGTGTCCTTGGACCCAGTGAACCGCCCACTGCTGCCAGCATTATTGAGAAGGTATTTGGGGCTCTCTCCAGCCTTCTGTTGGTACCAATATATGGTATAACTGCCCACTTGGCTGTCTCGGCTCATGGCACATGAGATCTTTGCTGGTTGTCCTGGAGGGAATGATTGTGCTGCAGGCTGAGTCAAGGTATACTGTGAGTTGGCTCCTGAAAATAATAATAATAATAATAACAATAAAAGGAAGAATATGAAGGTGGGCATCCTATTCATCTAGTTTTGGAGTATCTTTGGAAAAGCTGCTCTAATTAAAATCCAGACATCACTGAACCTCGATGGTTTGGAAGGCATGGAAGTCATGGCTTTGTTATCAGGATCAAACCACAGTTCTATCTTGAAGCTGATGCTTTCCAAACCATCTGATTAATCCAGAGGTGAGAATTCTTCCTAATTTACCTGTGCAGCATAAGAAGAAGAAGGCCAAGAGCAGAGACCACTCCATGATGCAGAATTGAGCTTTTGGGGAAACTCAAATTGGAAGACGGCTATAGTCCGTTTAAACCCTTCCAAAATTGGAGTCCTCCCCTTTATGCAAATTCATCTTGCATCTTGTTAGCAGATTTTGGATAAAAAGAATTGCACTTGCAGGAGAGACATGATTTCCTGCTTCTTTTTAACCTCTTGTTTGGCTTGTCTCTTTTTGGCCCTAGAGATTCCTGTGGGTGGCCTTGTGGCAGGAGCTGGTTTCAGACATTCAGTCCAAGGTCCCCAAACATCTCATGGACATGTTGAGGAAAAGACCTTTCTCACGATTCCATGATGTCAACAAACAGCCTTTTGGCCAATCCTGGTACTTGAACAACTAATTTGCAAAAGTCAGACAAAAATTTTCTTAGAGCACTGATAATGTTTGGCAGTTCTTATCCCTCCAGGAATAAATCCCCAGGAATTGTTTGTGTGTCACAGTTGGGATGAGGACGCTGATTCCATCTGATTATTTCTGCAGTAACAGAAGCCTCACACTTGGGACAGAGGTGCAAATCGAGCACCTCGAATAAAAATTGGCTCAGAGATGTATGCAAAAATCTTCCTTTGTACAACTTGTCGATCTATCTGTTTCCTTTTACAAGGTCAGAATTCACACTTTGTTGACTACACTTGTCATTCTTGACTACATTTTGTCTTCATTAGCAGATTACATTTGTCATATTGTCCTTTTGTTCACCATAACTCATTGTCAGAAGTTTCCTGCTGTACAGTTTGGCTTGTCAGTTTTGCAAGGAAGCTTAGAAGATCCACTGCAAAATACAAAAAAATAAAAAAATAAAAAATTGTGTGTACCTTGTGTTTACATAATTTGGTCAGTTCCTGGCTGATTTGATGTCGAAGCCTTTATTTTATACTCTTAAGCCAAGCATCAAGCTCTCAACAAACTCTCAATGGTCAAACCTAAGCTTTATTTTCTTCATCTCCTTAACAAAGAAATTGGAGGGAAAAAAACTCCAGATTCTCTGAGAAATTAGGATTTCTGAAAAATCATTTTCCAAACTGAAATCCATGTTGGAGAAATTCAGTATATGGCTTGGGTTGCTCCGTCCACACTCATGTAAAGCATTTGTTTCGGTTTAAATATTCTGTTTCTTTTTTTTTTTCTTTTTTCTTTTTAAATTTATAAACTTTATTAACAAATAAATAAAACACACACAAAAGATATATAACAAAGCTTTCAGTCCGAAGCCATAGATATGTTGAGGGTAGGACCTCTCTCAAGATTCATTGATGTCAAAAAATAGCCTTTTGACCAATCCTGTTACTTGAACAACTAATTTGTAAAAGCCAGAGTAAAACATTCCTAGAGCACGGATAATGTTTTCCCAGTTCTTATCCTTCCAGGAAAAAATCCCGGAAGTTGTGGAAGGGATTCCAAACTGAAATCCATGTGGTAGAAATTCAGTATATCACCTGTGTTGTTCCATCCACACTCACGTAAAGCATTGATTCGGTTTATATATTCAGTTTCAATCTGAAATGGTCCTCTGAAAATATTTGAAAAATGAAGTAAGAGCTCCTCCCTATGGCCAAACCTCTGTTGAGAAAGATTGCAGGGTCTTTTGAAAGAGGATTCTTAAAAGGGGAAGGAGTTAGTTGGCTCTTTTTAAAGTTCAGGGAAGCAGGCCCGGGCAACCACATCCCTGATTTTTAGAAGAAAAGTGTCAAATAGTGGTTCAGGTCATAGATCAGGATTGAAGAGATCAGTTGAGGTTCAGCCACAGAAACCACCCCACAATCTCTCTCAGCCAAATTTGCCTCTACTTCTGCTTTTGAATTGTCGAAAAAAAGACCCCACTGGTTTTATTGTGGAAATCAAACATCTCATATAATTAAAATATAGAAGGTAAAGGAGAACAACTACAACAAAGAAACCCACCCAATTTTGGGGTTTGGCCCAAATTTAAATTATAGTCCAACCATGGTACTTGGTTCAAACTGAATTCTACATCAGATTTGCTTTCTAAACTGGAGTCCTTTTGGTCGTTGAATTTTATTTCCATGAAAGGTCAATACCAGACAAGCCTCCTTTTATTTTCCTTTCTAGAAGAAATATGTGATATATTTTCCAATTTTAATCAAGGTGGGGGGTGGGGGGAGTAAAAATGTAATGGATGCAATGTTTCTTTATTGCAACTATGATGAATGTTGCAAATTTTTCTCTACCATTTTTCATTTTCCAAAAAAGGAGAAGGTCCTTATGCTTAGCAAGGCTGAGAGAAGAACTGACTCTGCTCTCTAAGTATTAACTGTGTAAATATTTCACAGGCCAGGCTGATGGTTCACGAAGGGGAAGAAGGAAGTGTTCACAAGGGGAGGTTTTTGTCTCACTTCTGCAAGTGATTGTATCACTGTGGATACCACCAGTTGCTGCCACTGCTGTAACCACCACCACAATAATAATCATCCTCATCCTCAGGCTGGAGGTTTGTAACGGTTAAATAGGCTGCATTGGCAGAGGTGTCCTTGGACCCAGTGAACCGCCCACTGCTGCCAGCATTATTGAGAAGGTATTTGGGGCTCTCTCCAGCCTTCTGTTGGTACCAATATATGGTATAACTGCCCACTTGGCTGTCTCGGCTCATGGTACATGAGATCTTTGCTGGTTGTCCTGGAGGGAACGATTGTGCCGCAGGCTGAGTCAAGGTATACTGTGAGTTGGCTCCTGAAAATAATAATAATAATAATAACAATAAAAGGAAGAATATGAAGGTGGGCATCCTATTCATCTAGTTTTGGAGTATCTTTGGAAAAGCTGCTCTAAATAAAATCCAGACATCACTGAACCTCGATGATTTGGAAGGCATGGAAGTCATGGCTTTGTTATCAGGATCAAACCACAGTTATAGCTTGAAGCTGATGCTTTCCAAACCATCAGATTAATCCAGAGGTGAGAATTCTTCCTAATTTACCTGTCCACCATAAGAAGAAGAAGGCCAAGAGCAGAGACCACTCCATGATGCAGAATTGAGCTTTTGGGGAAACTCAAATTGGAAGACTGCTATAGTCCCTTTAAACCCTTCCAAAATTGGAATCCTCCCCTTTATGCAAATTCATCTTGCATCTTGTTAGCAGATTTTGGATAAAAAGAATTGCACTTGCAGGAGAGACATGATTTCCTGCTTCTTTTTAACCTCTTGTTTGGCTTGTCTCTTTTTGGCCCTAGAGATTCCTGTGGGTGGCCTTGTGGCAGGAGCTGGTTTCAGACATTCAGTCCAAGGTCCCCAAACATCTCATGGACATGTTGAGGAAAAGACCTTTCTCACGATTCCATGATGTCAACAAACAGCCTTTTGGCCAATCCTGGTACTTGAACAACTAATTTGCAAAAGTCAGACAAAAATTTTCTTAGAGCACTGATAATGTTTGGCAGTTCTTATCCCTCCAGGAATAAATCCCCAGGAATTGTTTGTGTGTCACAGTTGGGATGAGGACGCTGATTCCATCTGATTATTTCTGCAGTAACAGAAGCCTCACACTTGGGACAGAGGTGCAAATCGAGCACCTCGAATAAAAATTGGCTCAGAGATGTATGCAAAAATCTTCCTTTGTACAACTTGTCGATCTATCTGTTTCCTTTTACAAGGTCAGAATTCACACTTTGTTGACTACACTTGTCATTCTTGACTACATTTTGTCTTCATTAGCAGATTACATTTGTCATATTGTCCTTTTGTTCACCATAACTCATTGTCAGAAGTTTCCTGCTGTACAGTTTGGCTTGTCAGTTTTGCAAGGAAGCTTAGAAGATCCACTGCAAAATACAAAAAAATAAAAAAATAAAAAATTGTGTGTACCTTGTGTTTACATAATTTGGTCAGTTCCTGGCTGATTTGATGTCGAAGCCTTTATTTTATACTCTTAAGCCAAGCATCAAGCTCTCAACAAACTCTCAATGGTCAAACCTAAGCTTTATTTTCTTCATCTCCTTAACAAAGAAATTGGAGGGAAAAAAACTCCAGATTCTCTGAGAAATTAGGATTTCTGAAAAATCATTTTCCAAACTGAAATCCATGTTGGAGAAATTCAGTATATGGCTTGGGTTGCTCCGTCCACACTCATGTAAAGCATTTGTTTCGGTTTAAATATTCTGTTTCTTTTTTTTTTCTTTTTTCTTTTTAAATTTATAAACTTTATTAACAAATAAATAAAACACACACAAAAGATATATAACAAAGCTTTCAGTCCGAAGCCATAGATATGTTGAGGGTAGGACCTCTCTCAAGATTCATTGATGTCAAAAAATAGCCTTTTGACCAATCCTGTTACTTGAACAACTAATTTGTAAAAGCCAGAGTAAAACATTCCTAGAGCACGGATAATGTTTTCCCAGTTCTTATCCTTCCAGGAAAAAATCCCGGAAGTTGTGGAAGGGATTCCAAACTGAAATCCATGTGGTAGAAATTCAGTATATCACCTGTGTTGTTCCATCCACACTCACGTAAAGCATTGATTCGGTTTATATATTCAGTTTCAATCTGAAATGGTCCTCTGAAAATATTTGAAAAATGAAGTAAGAGCTCCTCCCCATGGCCAAACCTCTGTGGAGACAGATTGCAGGGTCTTTTGAAAGAGGATTCTTAAAAGGGGAAGGAGTTAGTTGGCTCTTTTTAAAGTTCAGGGAAGCAGGCCCGGGCAACCACATCCCTGATTTTTAGAAGAAAAATGTCAAATAGTGGTTCAGGTCATAGATCAGGATTGAAGAGATCAGTTGAGGTTCAGCCACAGAAACCACCCCACAATCTCTCTCAGCCAAATTTGCCTCTACTTCTGCTTTTGAATTGTCAAAAAAAAAGACCCCACTGGTTTTATCGTGGAAATCAAACATCTCATATAATTAAAATATAGAAGGTAAAGGAGAACAACTACAACAAAGAAACCCACCCAATTTTGGGGTTTGGCCCAAATTTAAATTATAGTCTAACCATGGTTCTTGGTTCAAACTGAATCAGATTTGCTTTCTAAACTGGAGTCCTTATGGTCGTTGAATTTTATTTCCATGAAAGGTCAATACCAGACAAGCCTCCTTTTATTTTCCTTTCTAGAAGAAATATGTGATATATTTTCCAATTTTAATCAAGGGGGGGGAATAAAAATGTAATGGATGCAATGTTTCTTTATTGCAACTCTGATGAATGTTGCAAATTGATCTCTATCGTTTTTCATTTTCCAAAAAAGGAGAAGGTCCTTATGCTTAGCAAGGCTGAGAGAAGAACTGACTCTGCTCTCTAAGTATTAACTGTGTAAATATTTCACAGGCCAGGCTGATGGTTCACGAAGGGGAAGAAGGAAGTGTTCACAAGGGGAGGTTTTTGTCTCACTTCTGCAAGTGATTGTATCACTGTGGATACCACCAGTTGCTGCCACTGCTGTAACCACCACCACAATAATAATCAGCCTCATCCTCAGCCTGGAGGTTTGTAACGGTTAAATAGGCTGCATTGGCAGAGGTGTCCTTGGACCCCGTGAACCGCCCACTGCTGCCAGCATTATTGAGAAGGTATTTGGGGCTCTCTCCAGCCTTCTGTTGGTACCAATATATGCCATAACTGCCCACTTGGCTGTCTCGGCTCATGGTACATGAGATCTTTGCTGGTTGTCCTGGAGGGAACGATTGTGCCGCAGGCTGAGTCAAGGTATACTGTGAGTTGGCTCCTGAAAATAATAATAATAATAATAATAATAATAATAATAATAATAATAATAGTAGGAAGAATATGAAGGTGGACATCCTATTCATCTAGTTTTGGAGTATCTTTGGAAAAGCTGCTCTAATTAAAATCCAGACATCACTGAACCTCGATGGTTTGGAAGGCATGGAAGTCATGGCTTTGTTATCAGGATCAAACCATAGTTCTATCTTGAAGCTGATGCTTTCCAAACCATCAGATTAATCCAGAGGTGAGAATTCTTCCTAATTTACCTGTCCACCATAAGAAGAAGAAGGCCAAGAGCAGAGACCACTCCATGATGCAGAATTGAGCTTTTGGGGAAACTCAAATTGGAAGACTGCTATAGTCCCTTTAAACCCTTCCAAAATTGGAGTCCTCCCCTTTATGCAAATTCATCTTGCATCTTGTTAGCAGGTTTTGGATAAAAAGAATTGCACTTGCAGGAGAGACATGATTTCCTGCTTCTTTTTAACCTCTTGTTTGGCTTGTCCCTTTTTGGCCCTAGAGATTCCTGTGGGTGGCCTTGTGGCAGGAGCTGGTTTCAGACATTCAGTCCAAGGTCCCCAAACATCTCATAGATACGTTGAGGAAAAGACCTTTCTCACGATTCCTTGATGTCAACAAACAGCCTTTTGGCCAATCCTGGTACTTGAACAACTAATTTGCAAAAGTCAGACAAAAATTTTCTTAGAGCACTGATAATATTTGGCAGTTCTTATCCCTCCAGGAATAAATCCCCAGGAATTGTTTGTGTGTCACAGTTGGGATGAGGACGCTGATTCCATCTGATTATTTCTGCAGTAACAGAAGCCTCACACTTGGGACAGAGGTGCAAATCGAGCACCTCGAATAAAAATTGGCTCAGAGATGTATGCAAAAATCTTCCTTTGTACAACTTGTCGTTCTATCTGTTTCCTTTTACAAGGTCAGAATTCACACTTTGTTGACTACACTTGTCATTCTTGACTACATTTTGTCTTAATTAGCAGATTATATTTGTCATATTGTCCTTTTGTTCATCATAACTCATTGTCAGAAGTTTCCTGCTGCACAGTTTGGCTTGACAGTTTTGCAAGGAAGCTTAGAAGATCCACTGCAAAATACAAAAAAAATAAAAAATAAAAAATTGTGTGTGCCTTGTGTTTACATAATTTTGTCAGTTCCTGGCTGATTTGATGTCGAAGCCTTTATTTTATACTCTTAAGCCAAGCATCAAGCTCTCAACAAACTCTCAATGGTCAAACCTAAGCTTTATTTTCTTCATCTCCTTAACAAAGAAATTGGAGGGAAAAAAACTCCAGATTCCCTGAGAAATTAGGATTTCTGAAAAATCATTTTCCAAACTGAAATCCATGTTGGAGAAATTCGGTATATGGCTTGGGTTGCTCCGTCCACACTCATGTAAAGCACTTGTTTCGGTTTAAATATTCCGTTTTAATATTAATTTTTCTCTTCATGGAAAATGTTTGAAAAATGTAGTATAAGAGCTCCTCCCCATGGGCAAACCTCTCTTGAGACAGACTGCCTTGTCTTTTGAAAGAAGATGTTTAAAAAGGGAAGCAGTTGGCTCTTTTCAAAGTTCAAGGAAGCAGCCATGGGTAACCACATCCCAGATTTTGAAAAGAAAAATGCCAAATAGTGGTTAAAGTCATAGATTAGGGATGAAGAGATCGGTTGAGGTTCAGCCACAGAAACCCTCTCGTGACCTTGGTCTTCTCAATCTCTCTCAGCCAAATTTGACTTTACTTCTGCTTTTGAATAGTCAAAAATAAAACGCCAATGGTTTTATCTCGGAAATCAAACATCGCATATAATTGAAATACAAACTGTAAAGGTAAAAACAACAACCAAAGAAGAAACCCACACAATTTTGGGGTTTGCTACGAATCCATCTTTTAAATTACAGTCCAAACTTGATTCTTGGTTCCAATTCAACTTTACCTCAGATTTGTGTTCTAAACTGGAGTCCTTTTGGTCATTGAATTGCATCCCCATAAAGAGGTCAATACCAGATCAGCCTGCTTTTCTTTTCTTTTCTATGAGAAACATGTGATATATCTTCAAATTTTAATCAAGGTAAAAATTTAATGGATACAATCTTTTTTTTTTTAATTGCAACCATGATGAAGATTATGAATTTACTCCTGTCGTTCTTTATGATACTGAACAGTGAGGTCTCTATGCTTAGCAAGGCTGAGAGAAGAACTGAGTCTGTTCTTAAGTATGAATTGTGTAAATATTTCACAGTCAAGTTCAGAGTTAGTTCAGAGGAAGAAGGCAGGGAGTTTTTACAAGTAAGCACAAGGGGAGGTTTTAGTCTCACTTCTGCAAGTGAGTGTATCACTGTGGATACTTCCAGTTGTTGGTACTGCCATAATAACTAGCACAATAATAACCAGCCTCATCCTCATCCTGGAGGTTTGTAATGGTTAAATAGGCTGCATTGGTAGAGGCGTCCTTATACCCCGTGAACCGACCGTTGCTGCCGGCATTATAGAGAAGGTGTTTGGGGCTCTCTGCAGCCTTCTGTTGGTACCAATGTATGTTACGACTGCCTACTTGGGCATCTTGGCTCATGGTACATGAGATCTTTGCTGGTTGTCCCAGGGGAAACGATTGTGCCACAGGCTGAGTCAAGATTATCTGTGAGTTGGCTCCTGAAAATAAAAAGAGGAAGAGAATGAAGAGAGACATCCTATTCATCCACTCTTGGAGTAGCTTTGGAAGAGCTGCTCTGACTGAAATCCAGACATCACTCAATTTCGATGGGTTGGAAGGCATGGAAGGCGGTGGCTGTGACATCAAGATCAAACCACAGTTACAGCTTGAACCTGATACTTTGCAAACAATGCCTGCTTGCAGAGGTAAATTCAGAGTTAGGGATTCTTCCCAAATTACCTGTCCACCATAAGACAGCCAAGACAGCCAAGAGCAGAGACCAAGCCATGATGGAGAATTGAGCTTTTTGGGAAACTCAAATTGGAAGACTGCTATAATCCCTTTTAACCCCCAAGAATCTGAGTGCTGCCCCCTTTATGCAAATTCAGCTTGCATCTTGTTAGCAGGTTTTGGATAAAAAGAATTGCATTTGGAGGAAAGACATGGTTTCCTGTTTCTTTTTAACCTCTTGTTTGTCTTGTCTCTGTTTGGCCCTAGAGACACCTGTGTGGGTGGACATGTGGCAGGAGCTGGTTTCAGAGTATCGATTCGAGGTCCCCAATGATCTCATAGATATGTTGAGGAGAGGACCTTTCTCACGATTCATTGATGTCAAAAAACAGCCTTTTGACCAATCCTGTTACTTGAACAACTAGTTTGCAAAACCCAGAGTAAAAAATTCCTAGAACACTGATAATGTTTCCCCAGTTCTTATCCTTTTCAGGAAAAAATCCTGGAAGTTGTGGAAGGGATTCCAAACTGAAATCCGTGTGGTTTCAGTATATCACCTGTGTTGTTCCATCCACACTCACGTAAAGCATTGATTCGGTTTATATATTCAGTTTCAATCTGAAATGGTCCTCTGAAAATATTTGAAAAATGAAGTAAGAGCTCCTCCCTATGGCCAAACCTCTGTGGAGACAGATTGCAGCGTCTTTTGAAAGAGGATTTTTAAAAGGGGAAGGAGTTAGTTGGCTCTTTTTAAAGTTCAGGGAAGCAGGCCCGGGCAACCACATCCCTGATTTTTAGAAGAAAAATGTCAAATAGTGGTTCAGGTCATAGATTAGGATTGAAGAGATCAGTTGAAGTTCAGTCACAGAAACCACCCCACAATCTCTCTCAGCCAAATTTGCCTCTACTTCTGCTTTTGAATTGTCAAAAAAAAAGACCCCACTGGTTTTATCGTGGAAATCAAACATCTCATATAATTAAAATACAGAAGGTAAAGGAGAACAACAACAACAAAGAAACCCACCCAATTTTGGGGTTTGGCCCAAATTTAAATTATAGTCTAACCATGGTTCTTGGTTCAAACTGAATTCTACATCAGATTTGCTTTCTAAACTGTAGTCCTTTGGGTATTTGAATCGCATTTCCATAAAAATGTAATGGATGCAATGTTTCTTTATTGCAACTCTGATGAATATTGCAAATTTATCCTTGCCATTTTTCATTTTCCAAAAAGGAGAAGGTCCTTATGGTTAGCAAGGCTGAGAGAAGAACTGACTCTGCTCTCTAAGTATTAACTGTGTAAATATTTCACAGGCCAGGCTGATGGTTCACGAAACGGGAAGAAGGAAGTGTTCGCAAGGGGAGGTTTTTGTCTCACTTCTGCAAGTGATTGTATCACTGTGGATACCACCCGTTGCTGCCACTGCCGTAAGCACCACCACAATAGTAAATACCCTCATCATCAGCCTGGAGGTTTCCAATGGTTAGAACAAATGGCTCGTTCAGGGGAAAAAGGAAGTGTTTGCAAGTAAGCACAAGGGGAGGTTTTTGTCTCACTTCTGCATGTGAGTGTATCACTGTGGATACCCACTGCTGTAACCACCACCACAATAGTAAATAGCCTCATCATCAGCCTGGAGGTTTCCAACGGTTAAATAGGCTGCATTGGCAGAGCTGTCTATGGTCCCCGAGAATCTGCTGTTGTTGTTGTTGTCATAGAGAAGGAATTTGGGTCTCTCTCCAGCCTTCTGTTGGTACCAAGACATGAAATAGCTGCCCACTCGGCTGTCTTGGCTCATCTTACATGAGATCGTTGCTCTTTCTCCCAGGGGAAACGATTGTGTGGCAGGTTGAGTCAAGGTATACTGTGAGTTGGCTCCTGAAAATAAAATTAAAGCAATGGAAGAGAATGAAGATAGACATGCTATAGAACCATTCTTGGCGTATCTTTCGAAGAGGTGCTCTGATTTAAATCCAGACACCCCTGAACTTCGATGGTTTGGAAGGCATGGAAGTTATGGCTTTGTTATCAGGATCAAACCACAGTTCTAGCTTGAAGCTGATGCTTTCCAAACCATCAGATAAATCCAGAGGTGAGAATTCTTCCTAAATTACCTGTCCACCATAAGAAGAAGACAGCCAAGAGCAGAGACCACTCCATGATGCAGAATTGAGCTGTTTGGGAAACTCAAATTGGGAGACTGCTTTAGTCCCTTTAAACCCCTCCCAAAATTGGAGTCCTCCCCTTTATGCAAATTCAACTTGCATCTCATTAGTAGTTTTTGAGAAAAAGAATTTCACTTGGAAGGAAGAGATCAGGTTTCCTGTTCCTCTTTTTATCTCTTCTTTCGTTCATCTCCCTTGACCAGGGTTATACTTAGGGCGGCCATGTTACAGTAGCTGGTTTGGTCTAGGATCCCCATCAACGTACTTTATCCTCAATTATATGATGAAGAGAGGACCTTTCTCGAGAGTCAATTCAGAATAGTTCAAGCTTCTGTTCAAGAAATAGACCCTATACCATTTTGGACAAATGGCTGTCCAGGCTCTTCTTAAACAACTCCAGTGATGAAGTACCCATAGCTCCTGAAGGCAACTTCTGTTCCACTCATTTATTAATTATTCTCACTGTTAGGAAATTACTCCTTAATTCCAGATTGCTTCTCTCCTTGATTAGTTTCCATCCATTGTTTCTTGTCCTGCCTTCAGGTGCTTGGGAAACCAAGTTGACCCCCTCCCCTCTTCTTTGTGGCAGCCCCTCAAATACCGGAATACTGCCGTTATATCACCCTTAGTCCTTCTTTCTAGACTTGCCATACCCAATCCTTGCAACTGTTCTTCATATGGTTTAGTCTCCTCTTATTGCTCTTCTCTGAACTCTTCCCAAAGTCTCAACACCTTTTTTGTAACCACAGTTGCAGCTTTTGATAGAGCTCAGTTCCCCCACGTGACCAAACCTCTTTTGAGACAGATCCCATTGCCTTTTCTGATACGATTTTAAAAGGGGGAGGTTTATAAGGCTCAGAGAAGCGTACATGCGCAATCACATCTCACGGTTTAAAATAAAGTGATATCTAGCGGTTAAGATGACAGACTAGGAATGAAGAGATCCGTTCAGCTTCAGCCACAGTTTCCTTCCCATGAGAAATATCAATTTTCAAATTTTAATCACAAGGGGGAAAAACAGCACTAAGACTGTGTGCAATCCTTTTCATTGCAACTGTGATGAAGATGGAGAATTTATTCCTGTTATTCTCTGCTTTATTTAAAAATGAAGCAGAACCAGGTCTTTAAGCTTATTCAGAAAGAAACGGGTCTGTTCTTAAGTATTAACTGTGTCAGTATTTCCCAGGCCAGGCTGATGGCTCGTTCAGGGGAAAAAGGAAGTGTTTGTAAGAAAGCACAACCGGAGGTTTTTGTCTCACTTCTGCATGTGAGTGTATCACTGTGGATACCCACTGCCGTAATTACCACCACAATAGTAATCAGCCTCATCATCAGCCTGGAGGTTTCCAACGGTTAAATAGGCTGCATTGGCAGAGCTGTCTATGGTCCCCGAGAATCTGCTGTTGTTGTTGTTGTCATAGAGAAGGAATTTGGGTCTCTCTCCAGCCTTCTGTTGGTACCAAGACATGTAAGAGCTGCCCACTCGGCTGTCTTGGCTCATGGTACATGAGATCTTTGCTGGTTGTCCCCGTTGAAATGATTGTGTTGTGGGTTGAGTCAAGGTGAACTGTGAGTTGGCTCCTGAAAATAAAATTAAAGCAATGGAAGAGAATGAAGATAGACATGCTATAGAACCATTCTTGGCGTATCTTTCGAAGAGGTGCTCTGATTTAAATCCAGACATCACTGAACCTTGATGGTTTGGAAGGCATGGAAGTCATGGCTTTGTTATCAGGATCAAACCACAGTTCTAGCTTGAAGCTGATGCTTTCCAAACCATCAGATAAATCCAGAGGTGAGAATTCTTCCTAAATTACCTGTCCACCATAAGAAGAAGACAGCCAAGAGCAGAGACCACTCCATGATGCAGAATTGAGCTGTTTGGGAAACTCAAATTGGGAGACTGCTTTAGTCCCTTTAAACCCCTCCCAAAATTGGAGTCCTCCCCTTTATGCAAATTCAGCTTGCATGTCATTAATAGTTTTTGAGAAAAAGAATTTCACTTGGAAGGAAGAGATCAGGTTTCCTGTTCCTCTTTTTATCTCTTCTTTCGTTCATCTCCCTTGACTAGGGTTATACTTAGGGCGGCCATGTTACAGTAGCTGGTTTTGTCTAGGATCCCCATCAACGTACTTTATCCTCAATTATATGATGAAGAGAGGACCTTTCTCGAGAGTCAATTCAGAATAGTTCAAGCTTCTGTTCAAGCAATAGACCCTATACCATTTTGGACAAATGGCTGTCCAGCTCTTCTTAAACAACTCCAGTGATGAAGTACCCATAGCTCCTGAAGGCAACTTCTGTTCCACTCATTTATTAATTATTCTCACTCTTAGGAAATTACTCCTTAATTCCAGACTGCTTCTCTCCTTGATTAGTTTCCATCCATTGTTTCTTGTCCTGCCTTCAGGTGCTTTGGAAAATAGCACCCTCCCCTCTTCTGGAATACTGCCATTATGTCACCCTTAGTCCTTCTTTCTAGACTTGCCATACCCAATTCTTGCAACTGTTCTTCATATGGTTTAGTCTCCTCTTATTGCTCTTCTCTGCACTCTTCCCAAAGTCTCAACACCTTTTTTGTAACCACAGTTGCAGCTTTTGATAGAGCTCAGTTCCCCCACGTGACCAAACCTCTTTTGAGACAGATCCCATTGCCTTTTCTGATATGATTTTAAAAAGGGGAGTTTTATAAGGCTCAGAGAAGCGTACATGCGCAATCACATCTCACGGTTTAAAATAAAGTGATATCTAGCGGTTAAGATGACAGACTAGGAATGAAGAGATCCGTTCAGCTTCAGCCACAGTTTCTTTCCCATGAGAAATATCAATTTTCAAATTTTAATCACAAGGGGGAAAAACAGCACTAAGACTGTGTGCAATACTTTTCATTGCAACTGTGATGAAGATGGAGAATTTATTCCTGTTATTCTCTGCTTTATTTAAAAATGAAGCAGAACCAGGTCTTTAAGCTTATTCAGAAAGAAACGGGTCTGTTCTTAAGTATTAACTGTGTCAGTATTTCCCAGGCCAGGCTGATGGCTCGTTCAGGGGAAAAAGGAAGTGTTTGTAAGAAAGCACAACGGGAGGTTTTTGTCTCACTTCTGCATGTGAGTGTATCACTGTGGATACCCACTGCCGTAATTACCACCACAATAGTAATCAGCCTCATCATCAGCCTGGAGGTTTCCAATGGTTAAATAGGCTGCATTGGCAGAGCTGTCTATGGTCCCCGAGAATCTGCCATTGTTGTTGTTGTCATAGAGAAGGAATTTGGGTCTCTCTCCAGCCTTCTGTTGGTACCAAGACATGAAATAGCTGCCCACTCGGCTGTCTTGGCTCATGGTACATGAGATCATTGCTCTTTCTCCCAGGGGAAACGATTGTGTGGCAGGTTGAGTCAAGGTATACTGTGAGTTGGCTCCTGAAAATAAAATTAAAGCAATGGAAGAGAATGAAGATAGACATGCTATAGAACCATTCTTGGCGTATCTTTCGAAGAGGTGCTCTGATTTAAATCCAGACACCCCTGAACTTCGATGGTTTGGAAGGCATAGAAGTCATGGCTTTGTTATCAGGATCAAACCACAGTTCTAGCTTGAAGCTGATGCTTTCCAAACCATCAGATAAATCCAGAGGTGAGAATTCTTCCTAAATTACCTGTCCACCATAAGAAGAAGACAGCCAAGAGCAGAGACCACTCCATGATGCAGAATTGAGCTGTTTGGGAAACTCAAATTGGGAGACTGCTTTAGTCCCTTTAAACCCCCCCCAAAATTGGAGTCCTCCCCTTTATGCAAATTCAGCTTGCATCTCATTAGTAGTTTTTGAGAAAAAGAATTTCACTTGGAAGGAAGAGATCAGGTTTCCTGTTCCTCTTTTTATCTCTTCTTTCGTTCATCTCCCTTGACTAGGGTTATACTTAGGGCGGCCATGTTACAGTAGCTGGTTTGGTCTAGGATCCCCATCAACGTACTTTATCCTCAATTATATGATGAGGAGAGGACCTTTCTCAAGAGTCAATTCAGAATAGTTCAAGCTTCTGTTCAAGAAATAGACCCTATACCATTTTGGACAAATGGCTGTCCAGCTCTTCTTAAACAACTCCAGTGATGAAGTACCCATAGCTCCTGAAGGCAACTTCTGTTCCACTCATTTATTAATTCTCACTGTTAGGAAATTACTCCTTAATTCCAGACTGCTTCTCTCCTTGATTAGTTTCCATCCATTGTTTCTTGTCCTGCCTTCAGGTGCTTTGGAAAATAGCACCCTCCCCTCTTCTGGAATACTGCCATTATGTCACCCTTAGTCCTTCTTTCTAGACTTGCCATACCCAATCCTTGCAACTGTTCTTCATATGGTTTAGTCTCCTCTTACTGCTCTTCTCTGCACTCTTCCCAAAGTCTCAACATCTTTTTTTGTAACCACAGTTGCAGCTTTTGATAGAGCTCAGTTCCCCCACGTGACCAAACCTCTTTTGAGACAGATCCCATTGCCTTTTCTGATACGATTTTAAAAGGGGGAGTTTTATAAGGCTCAGAGAAGCGTACATGCGCAATCACATCTCACGGTTTAAAATAAAGTGATATCTAGCGGTTAAGATGACAGACTAGGAATGAAGAGATCCATTTAGCTTCAGCCACAGTTTCCTTCTAATGAGAACTATCAATTTTCAAATTTTAATCACAAGGGGGAAAAAGAGCACTAAGACGATACTGTGTGCAATACTTTTCATTGCAACTGTGATGAAGATGGAGAATTTATTCCTGTTATTCTCTGCTTTATTTAAAAATGAAGCAGAACCAGGTCTTTAAGCTTATTCAGAAAGAAACGGGTCTGTTCTTAAGTATTAACTGTGTCAGTATTTCCCAGGCCAGGCTGATGGCTCGTTCAGGGGAAAAAGGAAGTGTTTGTAAGAAAGCACAACGGGAGGTTTTTGTCTCACTTCTGCATGTGAGTGTATCACTGTGGATACCCACTGCCGTAATTACCACCACAATAGTAATCAGCCTCATCATCAGCCTGGAGGTTTCCAATGGTTAAATAGGCTGCATTGGCAGAGCTGTCTATGGTCCCCGAGAATCTGCTGTTGTTGTTGTTGTCATAGAGAAGGAATTTGGGTCTCTCTCCAGCCTTCTGTTGGTACCAAGACATGAAATAGCTGCCCACTCGGCTGTCTTGGCTCATGGTACATGAGATCATTGCTCTTTCTCCCAGGGGAAACGATTGTGTGGCAGGTTGAGTCAAGGTATACTGTGAGTTGGCTCCTGAAAATAAAATTAAAGCAATGGAAGAGAATGAAGATAGACATGCTATAGAACCATTCTTGGCGTATCTTTCGAAGAGGTGCTCTGATTTAAATCCAGACACCCCTGAACTTCGATGGTTTGGAAGGCATAGAAGTCATGGCTTTGTTATCAGGATCAAACCACAGTTCTAGCTTGAAGCTGATGCTTTCCAAACCATCAGATAAATCCAGAGGTGAGAATTCTTCCTAAATTACCTGTCCACCATAAGAAGAAGACAGCCAAGAGCAGAGACCACTCCATGATGCAGAATTGAGCTGTTTGGGGAACTCAAATTGGGAGACTGCTTTAGTCCCTTTAAACCCCTCCCAAAATTGGAGTCCTCCCCTTTATGCAAATTCAGCTTGCATGTCATTAGTAGTTTTTTGATAAAAAGAATTTCACTTGGAAGGAAGAGATCAGGTTTCCTGTTCCTCTTTTTATCTCTTCTTTCGTTCATCTCCCTTGACCAGGGTTATACTTAGGGCGGCCATGTTACAGTAGCTGGTTTGGTCTAGGATCCCCATCAACCTACTTTATCCTCAATTATATGATGAGGAGAGGACCTTTCTCGAGAGTCAATTCAGAATAGTTCAAGCTTCTGTTCAAGCAATAGACCCTATACCATTTTGGACAAATGGCTGTCCAGGCTCTTCTTAAACAACTCCAGTGATGAAGTACCCATAGCTCCTGAAGGCAACTTCTGTTCCACTCATTTTATTAATTATTCTCACTGTTAGGAAATTACTCCTTAATTCCAGACTGCTTCTCTCCTTGATTAGTTTCCATCCATTGTTTCTTGTTCTGCCTTCAGGTGCTTTGGAAACCAAGTTGACACCCTCCCCTCTTCTTTGTGGCAGCCCCTCAAATACCGGAATACTGCCGTTATGTCACCCTTAGTCCTTCTTTCTAGACTTGCCATACCCAATTCTTGCAACTGTTCTTCATATGGTTTAGTCTCCTCTTATTGCTCTTCTCTGCACTCTTCCCAAAGTCTCAACATCTTTTTTGTAACCAGAGTTGCAGCTTTTGATAGAGCTTAGTTCTCCCACGTGATGAAACCTCTTTTGAGACAGATCCCATTGCCTTTTCTGATATGATTTTAAAAAGGGGAGTTTTATAAGGCTCAGAGAAGCGTACATGCGCAATCACATCTCACGGTTTAAAATAAAGTGATATCTAGCGGTTAAGATGACAGACTAGGAATGAAGAGATCCGTTCAGCTTCAGCCACAGTTTCCTTCCCGTGAGAAATATCAATTTTCAAATTTTAATCACAAGGGGGAAAAACAGCACTAAGACGATACTGTGTGCAATACTTTTCATTGCAACTGTGATGAAGATGGAGAATTTATTCCTGTTATTCTCTATTTTATTTAAAAATGAAGCAGAACCAGGTCTTTAAGCTTATTCAGAAAGAAACGGGTCTGTTCTTAAGTATTAACTGTGTCAGTATTTCCCAGGCCAGGCTGATGGCTCGTTCAGGGGAAAAAGGAAGTGTTTGTAAGAAAGCACAACGGGAGGTTTTTGTCTCACTTCTGCATGTGAGTGTATCACTGTGGATACCCACTGCCGTAATTACCACCACAATAGTAATCAGCCTCATCATCAGCCTGGAGGTTTCCAATGGTTAAATAGGCTGCATTGGCAGAGCTGTCTATGGTCCCCGAGAATCTGCTGTTGTTGTTGTTGTCATAGAGAAGGAATTTGGGTCTCTCTCCAGCCTTCTGTTGGTACCAAGACATGAAATAGCTGCCCACTCGGCTGTCTTGGCTCATGGTACATGAGATCATTGCTCTTTCTCCCAGGGGAAACGATTGTGTGGCAGGTTGAGTCAAGGTATACTGTGAGTTGGCTCCTGAAAATAAAATTAAAGCAATGGAAGAGAATGAAGATAGACATGCTATAGAACCATTCTTGGCGTATCTTTCGAAGAGGTGCTCTGATTTAAATCCAGACACCCCTGAACTTCGATGGTTTGGAAGGCATAGAAGTCATGGCTTTGTTATCAGGATCAAACCACAGTTCTAGCTTGAAGCTGATGCTTTCCAAACCATCAGATAAATCCAGAGGTGAGAATTCTTCCTAAATTACCTGTCCACCATAAGAAGAAGACAGCCAAGAGCAGAGACCACTCCATGATGCAGAATTGAGCTGTTTGGGGAACTCAAATTGGGAGACTGCTTTAGTCCCTTTAAACCCCTCCCAAAATTGGAGTCCTCCCCTTTATGCAAATTCAGCTTGCATGTCATTAGTAGTTTTTTGATAAAAAGAATTTCACTTGGAAGGAAGAGATCAGGTTTCCTGTTCCTCTTTTTATCTCTTCTTTCGTTCATCTCCCTTGACTAGGGTTATACTTAGGGCGGCCATGTTACAGTAGCTGGTTTGGTCTAGGATCCCCATCAACGTACTTTATCCTCAATTATATGATGAAGAGAGGACCTTTCTCAAGATTCAATTCAGAATAGTTCAAGCTTCTGTTCAAGAAATAGACCCTATACCATTTTGGACAAATGGCTGTCCAGGCTCTTCTTAAACAACTCCAGTGATGAAGTACCCATAGCTCCTGAAGGCAACTTCTGTTCCACTCATTTATTAATTATTCTCACTGTTAGGAAATTACTCCTTAATTCCAGATTGCTTCTCTCCTTGATTAGTTTCCATCCATTGTTTCTTGTCCTGCCTTCAGGTGCTTTGGAAAATAGCACCCTCCCCTCTTCTTTGTGGCAGCCCCTCAAATACTGGAATACTGCCATTATGTCACCCTTAGTCCTTCTTTCTAGACTTGCCATACCCAATTCTTGCAACTGTTCTTCATATGGTTTAGTCTCCTCTTACTGCTCTTCTCTGCACTCTTCCCAAAGTCTCAACATCTTTTTTTGTAACCACAGTTGCAGCTTTTGATAGAGCTCAGTTCCCCCACGTGACCAAACCTCTTTTGAGACAGATCCCATTGCCTTTTCTGATATGATTTTAAAAGGGGGAGTTTTATAAGGCTCAGAGAAGCGTACATGCGCAATCACATCTCATGGTTTAAAATAAAGTGATATCTAGTGGTTAAGATCACAGACTAGGAATGAAGAGATCCGTTCAGCTTCAGCCACAGTTTCCTTCTAATGAGAAATATCAATTTTCAAATTTTAATCACAAGGGGGGGAAAAAACAGCACTGTGTGCAATCCTTTTCATTGCAACTGTGATGAAGATGGAGAATTTATTCCTGTTATTCTCTATTTTATTTAAAAATGAAACCAGAACCAGGTCTGAGCGCATCCCAGATTTGGATGCATATGGAAGAGCATGGTCACGAGTTCAACTTCCAAGAGACTGAAGTCGTTGCCCTTGACGAAACAAAAGGAGGGCGCTTCTTGAAAGAAGCCTGGTTTTCTAAGAACAACTCCCTCAATAGACGTATTGACATACCACCTGCATATCAGGCTTTATGGCACCAGGAAAGACTTAAGGAGGACCGATCACTAAGACTGAATGGAGATCGGGGACAAATTTCCTCCTTTAGGCATGGAGAGTGGCCCAATGAA